TTTTCTGAGACAGAGTCTCGCTCTGTAGCCCAGGCTGGAGTGCAGTGGTGTGATCTCAGCTCACTGCAATCTCCACCTCCTAGGTATCGGTTCAAGCGATTCTCCTGACTCAGCCTTCCTAGTAGCTGGGATTACAGGTGCCCACCACCATGCTCAGCTAATTTTTGTATTTTTAGTAGAGATGGGGTTTCACCATGTTTGTCAGGCTGGTCTTGAACTCTTGACCTTGTGATCCACCCACCTTGGTCTCCTAAAGTGCTGGGATTACAGGCGTGAGCCATTGTGCCCAGCTGAGGGTTTTTAAAAAAATTGTTGTCAGTTGTTTCAGGAGAACAACTGAGAAAAGCACGTGATGATCTCTTCTCTCTTTCTGTCCAATGTCAGATTGCCCCAGAGGAATTAGCACTTGTTCACAACCTGAGGAAAATGATGAAAAACGATTGGGTAGGTGCATATGATGCCTAACATTTCAGAAAGCAATGTGTTTTCATTTTAAACATGCTCTACTGTTTCATTGCTAATTAAATAAGATAATAACTTACCGTCTATAAAATCAGAGACTTTCCAGTCTCACCACTGCCTTCCAGCATTCTAAAATCTAGACTTTCCAGTCTCTGATTTTATAGACGGTAAGTTATTTATTTAATTCCCATGTCTGTACCAAGTTAGAAATAAGGCCTGAATTAAAATCTGTTTATGTGGTTTATAATCTTTCCACTTAACTGGAGTAAGTTTATTCAAAACCACTTTATTTAAATATTGGCCTAATTTTATTTTGCTTGCAGTCACTTAAAGTGTTTTTGTATTTCCTTACCATCTTTGGAAAAGAGTGTAAGACTCAAAAGTATGTCCTGATAAATTTAAAATCAGGCAGCAGTTTATTATCTGAGCCAAATCTGTAATAACCAATTTAGTTGCCATTTAACTGTTCTAGACTACACTTCTGTAACACTATATGCCCAAGAAAGAAAAAAAATTCTACAGATGATACAATTGCAGTTTTCTATCCTATTCAACTTTTTCCAGTTCAGCCTTTTCTCCTTTATTTCAGCATGGAGGCACCAAAGAAAAATTTGTTTCTCCCTAGATTGTTACTCCGTCCAAAGTAATATCTTTTTTTTTTTTTTTTTTTGAGACAGAGTCTTGCTCTGTTGCCAGGCTGGAGTGCAGTGGCGCGATTTCGGCTCACTGCAACCTCCGCCTCCCAGGTTCAAGCAATTCTCCTGCCTCAGCTTCCCGAGTAGCTGGGACCCAGGCGCGCGCCACCACGCCCAGCTAATTTTTGTATTTTTTAGTACAGACGGGGTTTCACCATGTTGACCAGGATGGGCTCGATCTCTTGACCTCGTGATCCATCCGCCTCGGCCTCCCAAAGTGTTGGGATTACAGGCCAACGGATACATACTCTATTTCCATAAGGGGTTAGATACACAGAGCTACATACATTAATGATAGAGATATGATAACTAGGCCAGTCCACATGGTATTAGTCATGATCCGTGTGACTTATGAAGGGATGAGGGGCATGGGAGGCTCTAGGGGAGCTTCTGCTTTACTGGCAAGGTTTTATTTTTGTTCAGGGAGGTATCAGCCAGTGGAGAAATCTGTGAGAAGGGATAAGACACCGGGCGCGGTGGCTCACGCCTGTAATCCTAGCACTTTGGGAGGCTGAGATGGGTGGATCACCTGAGGTCAGGGGTTCAAGACCAGCCTGGCCATCATGGTGAAACCTCATCTTTAAAAAAATTTAAAAATAAAAAATTTTTTAAAAAAAGAGAAGGGATAAGACGCAGGAGAAGTAGGGAGCAGGGCCTTCCGCGGCCTGCGCCAGGGTACACCCACGTGAGCGGCGGAGACAGCGCCCAGCCCACTCCAGCCCAGAGCAGGAGCACCAGCGTGGCCTGTGGAGCCAAGCCCCTCACATGCAACCACTGAGAAGCCAGACTGGGTCACACCTAGGAAGACGGAGGAAAGGATTGGCGAACGGCTCCTCCAATGGGAAGGGCTGTATTTGCAGACCAATAGGGCGCCGAGAATGACACGCGTCCGCGGGCCTGCCAAGCCAATCGGCTAGCAGCAGCGAGCGGCGGGCGGGGCTGGGGGGGCCGCAGCCCAGTGGAGCAGCGCGGCATGGCGGGCGGGGCCCGGGAGGTGCTCACGCTGCAGTTGGGACATTTTGCCGGTTTCGTGGGCGCGCACTGGTGGAACCAGCAGGTGAGGTCTGCCGCCAGCTGCCCCCGCGGAGCCCTTCGGGATCTACAGTCCCGACGTTCAGCCGGCCTGCCTCATCCTCTCGGCCTCCCCAAGATGCTGCCCTGGGCCGAGCGACAGATGCTAAGGAGCCGCCGGGAGAGCTGTGCCCCGACGTCCTGTATCGTACGGGCCGGACGCTGCACGGCCAGAAGACCTACACGCCGCGACTCATCCTCATGGATCTGAAGGGTGAGGTGGTGGCAGGGTCAGCCGATGCCCCGTGTTTCCCTTCCGTGTGCCGAGTCCCTGCCCTGCCGTTCGCTTCAAGACCCTCCCACCTTCCTGAGCTCAAGGACCAGAGATAAGGAGCTGAGCACAATGTGCCAGCACCCGAGGGGCGCAGGACGGCAAAACTTTATTCTGCTCCAGAGCCATCTCGGGAACAGGCTGCTAGGCCCTGAAGACAGTGAGGACTTGAACTACAGCATTCCTTTCGGACCGCTGGATGTAGTTTTTGACCCCAGTCCCATAGCTAATGAGTAAGCTGGGAACGGAAATATAGAATCTATATTATCCTAGGCCTAGGTTCCCCCCCACCCCCAACTGGTATATATCCCAGAAAGCTTGGAAGAGCCAAGTGCTGGAGAGATGATGACAGCAGCTGTCACGTGTTCAGGAAGTTTAGCTAGAGGGGTAGGGTGCCCCAGGCTTTGACCTAACATTGTCTGTTATTTCTGTACAGGCAGTTTGAGCTCCCTAAAAGAGGAAGGTGGACTCTACAAGGACAAACAGCTGGATGCTGCAATAGCATGGTATGTAATTGATGAGAGGGGTGGGGAACATGTATGTACATAGAATGCTGGAGAACTCATCAGAGTGCGGTTTCTTTGATCAATCTCCAATCTCTTTCAGGCAGGGGAAGCTCACCACACACAAAGAGGAACTCTACCCCAAGAACCCTTATCTCCAGGACTTTCTGAGTGCAGAGGTGAGGGCCTCTGCCCTGAACTTTTTAACCCAGTGCTACAACCCGAGGGCCTCCATAGGGGCAGGTAGAAGAGGATTTTACTCACTTTAAATGCCTTAGAATGGTATTTTGGGAAAAAGCACATCTTTTCCTAAGGACCGCTACTCCATGAACAGAAAGGAGGCTGTGTGGTGTGGTCAGCCAACTCGAGGATAAACCAACCTTTGCCTCTAAACTGCCTGGAACTAAATGAGGGTTTTTCTCACACCTCCCAGGGAGTGCTGAGTAGTGATGGTGTTTGGAGGGTCAAATCCATTCCCAATGACAAAGGTGAGACTTCCCCAGATACTGGTGGATGGGGGTCTGGGTGGAACAGAAATGTGGAGAAAGGTACATTTCCTCTACTTGTCTTCAGGTCCCCCACCACTCACCACGTCTACAACTCCAACACCACTTATCCCTACAGAGGGCAGCATCAGGGTTTGGTCAGACTTCCTCAGAGTCCACCTCCATCCCCGGAGCATCTGTATGATTCAGAAGTACAATCACGATGGGTATGGAGGCCCCAGAGGCTGTGAGGCAAGAAACTTGGGTCCCCACCAATGCTGGATGAGGCTCTTGAGGCCATCTTCCCTGCCCTCCCCCAGGACAAGAGGTTGAGGAGTTGAGAGGAAGAGATGCAAGTCTTGGGTCGTGTTTATTTGTGGCAGGGAAGCAGGTCGGCTGGAGGCTTTTGGCCAAGGGGAAAGTGTCCTAAAGGAACCCAAGTACCAGGAAGAGCTAGAGGACAGGCTGCACTTCTACGTGGAGGAATGTGACCACCTGCAGGTCGTGGCATGGCTATGTGTACCCCAGGGTGGAAGCTCTTCTCATCCTCCTCCCTAACTATCTTTCGTCACTCACTTCTGCCCAGGGCTTCCAGATCCTGTGTGACCTGCACGATGGCTT